CTTAAATACCGCCCCGGGCGGTCATTTTTCTTCGCAACATCGCACGTCTTCTCTTTACTTTGGATATTTGTTGGGCGGGACCCTCTTTTTTTACAGTCCCCCAAATCCGGGGTACGGTAGCCGCTTATCCGGGCTGGGGCCGCTTTTTTGCACCCCCCGACTACCGTACCCGGGGCCGCCGGGGCATTTCCGGAGCCACTGATCGGCGCAGAAAAATGCGAGGCATCGAGAAACATGTACATGGCCCCGCGGGTACGGTAGTCTGGTGCCCCCGGAAGGGTCTACGGTAGCTGGGCTATACTTTGTGAGCTGTAATTCTGGATGATACCGCAAGGAATACCAGTAAGTTCTGGGCTATGATTCGCATGGAACTTTGCAAGCGATTTTTGGAAAAGAGGTGGGTATTAATTAAGGTTGCAGTAAACCGTAGCTGATAACGTGAAAATGAAATATCGAAAAATATACTTCAATCTGTTACGAAATTTTTGTTATCAAGTTTTACAGTGCAGCTGATACCTCTAGTCAATCAACAGTACGATCGTATTGTATCGTGCTCACCGCTCATGGTACAGCTCGAAAAAGTAAGCCCTCGTATTTTGCCAATGAAACCTGGTGCTGATGTTTGAATTTCGCCACTGATTTAGCTTTCTGTATAACCCTTAATTGATCAAAGGATGGATTTCTAAACCTGATTGCCTCGTTGGGGCGGCAATGAATCGATTGATATTATCGTTTTTACACAATTTTTTCTGAGGTATCTTTGCAATCGGGCCTTGAAACCCCCGCGAATTTCGTCCGTCAAAAATTTCATTGGCCCTCTCTTTGACAAATCAGGTATCAGGTTGGAAAGTAAATCCTGTCGCCGAGATTTCGGAAGGCTGGCTAAAATCGCAGATAGCATGGATTGGCGTTAAACATATCGCATGCCGATTGCTCTATGCAAAGACAACCTGCAAAAACATACAAAAACCTCCATTTTGGCGCTCCAGGACCCTCCTCCCAAAACGGTTCACGCACCACGCACCCCTCCCGCATTTCGCCATATTACATCCGATCGGTCCAAAATTTGGACCAGAGGTGAATCAGACGGTAAATAACCATAATCCTAAGTTACAGCCCGCCAGCTACAATAATTTTTGAGATACAGCGTAAATAAACTTTATTATCCGTTTTTCATAAGGTTTTCGTCGGAATCGACCCTTCGAATATTAAGTGAATATGAAGCGGCAAGCCTTCTTTATCCCTAAAAAGTTTTTCCTGATAGAAATTAATTAAATAACCGTTAATTTCAACAATTTTTGTAACGCAAAGTCACCCCTGATATTAAGCGAAATTAGGGATTCGCAGCCGGAAGTCGATGCAAATCGATGCAAAGTCCAAAAAGATAGCCGAAAAAACTGTTATGAATCGCGTAAAAAATAGTATTATGGAGATAACTCGAAAACTACTGTAGCGATCGGGCTATAACTCAGAATTGTGGTTATTTAGGGTCTGATACACCCTTGTGCAAAGTATGGGACCGACGGGAAGTAATACGGCGAAATGCCGGAGGGGTGCTTTTTTTTGGGACACCCTGTAGTGAGTCATAAAAAGTGCTTGAACCCAGGCCAAACAGGCTGAATTGGAGCGTTGAGAGTATTTGGTGATACCGCACGCATCGATAAAAGGATTTTGATATACTATTGTTTTTGGCTGCAACGGCACTAGGAACTGATTGGCAGACAAGTTTCACCGGCCTGGTGCGATTCCATCTACCAGCCATTCAATTTCGATTTGGGTAACCAATTGCACGGTTGATAAGTCGGACTCATTAAAATGCGACGTCTGGGAATAATATGGCCACCGTCACCGGCTGCCGCTCTATTCATCAACACTAAGCTTGTGATTGAATAACAGTTATCGAGGAAACCACTTGATTTTGAGAAAGGATCTAAGGGAATTGGATGGGAGAAAACTAATGTTTTTGTCCGCTTGGAGTTAACAGTCTATGGATTCCACGATCATGACCATAACGTTTGTTGTTTATGGATACCCTATGGATTTGATTAAGCAACAACAAATTTTTTATTGTCTCACTCCAAATCACAATTTTGCGTAGACGAAGCAGCGCCCGGTGCGTGTTACGGCGCCGCCAACTCAAGAAAGAATCGATCCAATAATACAAGGTGTCCCAAAAAAATCCCCCCCCCCAGCCGGCCGTAGACCTATCCGATTTTACGATTTAGGTATCTATCGAAAGCTCTTGGAAAGGCGAGTCCAGCACGTCTTGCCAATTTTCGAAATCTCGACATTTTTCTGTCATTTACTAATGTTTTTGCAATACGGGCGGATTTTCTGATGTTTTTCTGACCTCCGCGTTTTTTACAAAAATCACAATTTAAAAATTTTAATGCTATTCCTGGCAGCCCAACGACGGCTTTTCGCAAGCCCTTCGCAAGAACGGAGCTTGGATAGCGCTTAAACCGGTTAAATTGCGTTTTGGTTAAAAAAGCGTGTCCTTTTTGCATGAAAAATGCTGGAAAACGAGCAAAAAATTTCGAGATTTTGCAAATTGGCAAGACGTGCTGGACTCGCCTTTACGAGAGCTTTCGATAGGTACCTAAATCGTAAAAATCGAATAGGTCTGCGGCCGGCTAGAGGGGGGGGATTTTTTAGGGACACCCTGTATATACAGTAGCGTGTCCAACTTCTCGGCCTCAAAGAAGCGAGTAGGAGCCCGATAGGTTTGTGGAAATTACTTGCTTAAAGGTTTTGCCCCTCCTGAACACGATGGACACATTTTTGAAAACAGAAAATGCCTCGGAAAAAAAAAGTTGATTTTCGCGAATTTTTTAAAACCGGAATTTGAGCATCAAGATTTAATTTTTCCCGGATTTCGGGATTGCGATCAGATTGCCAGTAGCAGAACTGACCTAGACACAAATTTTCCTAAAATTTGGATGTATCGGGTTCGTACGACAAACGATTTCCCGACCGGACATAATTTTGACCGCTACTATAAGAATCGATCCAATAACTTTGGTTTGAATAGGACCCTAACGGCAAGGCGGTTTTGCACTCTAAAGATATATCCAGGCGCATAAACAATAAAATCAAGCTAAAATAGCTCAGCTTTATGGGTAAAAGTAAATCAATAAAGAAAAACGCAAATCCCGAATTCGCCAAGAGAACTTTCGAGAGGCAATGGCCAAACTGAACGCCCGTTGTTGTGCGCATGCAATAAAAAGCCCACCACAGCCCAATATTTCACCGGCTACTTCCCTTTAACAGGCGTCAATTTTTACCGGATGTTGTCCGTAGCGTAGAACTTGGTAAACATGTTGATTGCTATGAACAAAAAAAGCGGTAATGAGGTTTTTCCGGAAATGCCGAAAGGCTTTGGCGGACTAAGCCGTCGGTGGGCGCTTATTGTTTTGGTTTTGTACAGTCAAGTGTCGAGCAGCGATTCTTGCTCTCGGATTTACTGGGAAACACATCAAGTAGGAGGGATTTTCTTTCGCTACAATATCCGCTGATTCATACTTTCCATTGAAGAATTTTTTACAATAAATTTGCAGTTGCAAAAATGCTGGAAATCCGATGAAATTTTTGTGATATCCGAAGGCATTATCGAGATTTGTAAGAAAGCAATTAAAGGAAAAAAATCAAGGGTTCTGTTCCGCTTTTTCATTATTCATTTGTTAAAAACATCACTTGTTACATGCACTTTTGCTTCTAACGAAAATTGCTAAATTTTTCTATGATTTTTCACTGGTGAGTTAGTTATTTGTCTACAGTAAATTTTCTTCAGATTTAAAGAATATGTTGTTCAGACTTCTAAGTATTTTAACTTATATAGAAAAAAATTATATAGAAAAATTAAAACGAAATTTCAGGAAATAGGCTCATTCATAAAAACCTGAAAAAAAATCATCGTTTTTATACCGACGTCAAGCACGTTTATGCAGATGGCCACTCGGCCAAAACAAGCCCTTTTCACGCTCTCACTTGTAATCCGTGATTTCCTCAAAAAACCCTCTACTCTAAGGGCATTCCATCGAACGCCCGGGCAGACGTCTGCTCAATTTCGCAACTTCCCAACGAACGACACGTTTTTCCGAGTTCTCACTATGAACATCTACTCGGACGGGGGGGGGGGTACGGTAGCCTGGCCCCCGCGAACGGATTTTGCTCCCTCCCCCACCATCCCACGTATGCAAAGAGCAATTGTTTGTTGCCTGAAATCCGCTGTATTTTGAGCAACCCGCGGATTTTTGAGTGACTGTATCGTTGTTTAGACCACTGTTAGAGTTTCTAACTTGCAAAAGCAACGATCCGTAAATTTTAGAATTCGAAAAATTTTACATTCTAAATATTTAAGCCTTCCCCTAATTTCGAATGCGAAAACGAAATTAGCTTAATTAGATTCGTTTGCCATAGTCTTAACATCCCCCGAGAGAGAAAACCCCGACGGTCATAATCTCGAAATGTTTTTTTTTTACTTGAGTGAGATGCGACTCGCTTTTCAACAGCCGCTTTGCATGACGGATTTTCGGTATCGGGATTTTGGCTGTCGCGAAATTTTGAATGACGGGATTTTTGTCTCTCGCCATTTAGCTTGTCGGGATTTTCGCGTTTTCCCTTTTAAATACGCGCACAAAAAGGACCTGCATCAAAAGTGGCTGAAAATTCAAATTTGATAGAAATGTCTTTTCGCAACATGTTTTGCGTGTCATCCCTCGGTGCTGAATGGTTTTTTATTAATTTTTTGACATGGTCATGCACTTTATTCGAAAATCGTCGATCACATTGAGTATCTACATGCATTGAGCAAACGGCAATCGAGGGGGGGGGCTCCTGATTGACTCCATCGACAGCTCGAGAAATCATTTTAAAGCTCATTCAATCGATTTAAAGGGATGGGACAATAGAGGAACCAGTAGAATCATAATCTTGTGACTTGAGCGGCGGACGGGTTCGCGTTTTTCATCCAACTAGCTATCCACGAATGCCGATTCTCAGCTTTTCCACCAGGATTTTCCAGCGTGGGACGTCGAAGCACCTAAAAAAGCTTGGTCCTTCAAATATGCATATGAGCAAAAATCCGAACTATTTAAATGTATCAGAATTTCCTAGAGTCAGAATTTAGAATTAATAAGGTTATAATATCTTTAATAACATTTTTTATAAACGCCAAAAAAAGCACAGTTTCAAAAGGTTCAAACTAGACAGTAGGGCAAAAGTCACACTGGGAAAGCGTCGTCGGGATTTGGAAAAAGCCGGGGTACCTACCGTATTGTTGACCTTGATCTCGCTGACACCCATTCTCGGCCGTTGAGCACGATGGGTTATTGGGCCATGGAGGGTAGGAGGTAGAGCTTCTTCGTGAGGAGGCTGGGGTGGAGGATGAGCTGGGGGAGGAGGGCGGAGACGGACTTTTGGGGAGACTGAAGCATGAGGGGGGATAAGCAAGGTTTGAAAGTAGCGGACAGGTATAGGGAAAAGAGAAATATATCAAAAATTTGATAAAGGTAAATAGAAAAATTTATCCGCATTCAATTTTTGGAAAATCTTTGACCTTGCTTGGTAAGGACTGATAATAAAAATTTGACCAATTGACAGGGAGCACGAGATAATTGTCTACTTCGAGATATATTAGACGTATTACGGTACGATAAAAAACTATAAAAATTCTACCTGACATTCCTTTTGAAGAAGACACTTTCTGTAGCGGTACATCATCGCCAACCGAAAGGTTGATGATGTAGCGCGAATTTCGAGCCGATTCGGTTGGCAAGGGTTCTCTCACGTCTTGCTGCGGCTCCTCGGGTAGGGGTTGATCCTGAATAGTGTTTTATTTAATGACAGAGTTTTTAGACTTGCTAGCAGAAAGAGGCACTTTAAATTGTAAATTTTAAATTCGCTGCAAAACGCAGAAGTAGCGTTTTTGAAGATGGTTGTAACTGATAGCTTTTCGCAAGGGTCACCCGATATTCAGACTTGCAGGCCCCTTAAAAGAAACCGGCAACTATTTTTATGGATCTTCTTCGATGGTTAAATCAATCAAAAACGGATTGCAAAAAATCCATAGCACTGCTTGCCAGTCTCTTTAAAGTTCTGGCTAGGAAATAATATTTTTAGTGCAAATTCCGTAAAAATTCAAGCCTTTTAAGAGACCAGGAATCAAATTTGTACCCTCGAACAGCCCTGTTTATTACAGCTCTACCGTAACCAAACCTAGTTTCCTTTCAAAAACAAAAATCTGAATTCCATTCCTCATATAAAAATTTTTTTTAATTGATCCATTAATTTACTTTCAAAATTACCTACTTTTCTTTGTTCAACAAATTCTGTTGCTATGTTTCGTTTTTACTGTCTTTTACAGTATCGTCAAGAACATCGGATTTGTCGGTACCCGATCATAGGCTGTTATGGTGGAAAATTCCACTAGCAGCTTGCACACGTCTGGGTCGTTTTCTAAAAAAAAACGCCCAGCGCTCAGAATTTGCCATTTTTAAAATCGCCGATTTAAGTGCATGTCAAACCACAAACACTTCCAACCCCAAAACACACTCAAAAAATCATCGTTAATCCGCGGTGGTAAATTTTGCTTGCCGAAAAAGGAGGAGGGAGGCTTAAAATGGAAATGGCGGGATACGGTAGGGGATTACGGGGGAGGGGGGGGGAACATGGGCTTAACAGGGGTTCTGAGAAATTATATGAGCATCAGGCCCAATAACTATGTGGGGCCCAGGGCACGCCCTTTATATAGTGAAGACCACCCCCATTGTTGACGGTGCTCACAGAGATCCTACCTTATATAAATTTGGAATGTATCTCTGTGTGTGGGTGAGTGTGGATGTCACTTTCGAGGCCCGATTTGAGGGCCTTCCCGTGTCTAAAATGCCCTAATGCTCAGTCAGTTGGGGGAATCGACCCTCCTATTTCCGATGGCATTTTTAGAATCCCGATAAAATACAAGTTTACAAAGTTAAAGCCGGTTTTATTGCTTTTTGGGGTTTAGGAGGAGTATTGCCAAAAATTTATGCATTTCTTAAAGATCCCCGCATGCTACCAACAGCTAGGATCATCTCTTGCTTGAAGATTTGCAATAACGACACGCAACGACGACTCCATGATTTTGATTGCGAAATAGAATACCAGGCATTTGCGCCAGGAAACCGCGTAGGCGTTAAGTGTCGCGATCCTAGCGAGGGTTGGCAAAATTGCAAGGGTGAATAAAATTAATGCTATCGCAAAAAAATCACGAAAATCCCGTAATCGCAACTTTGCCGGGTTCGTCCCGTTTACAAGTGTAATATTAAGGATATCTCTTTTTCGCAACTCCGTTATAATTACTTCCTATTTTCCTGCAGTTTTGCTAGCTTTTGCTTGCCCTGGTTTCTTGAGAAGTGTTTAAATTTATCCTAAAGACCCTAAAGTTTAGCCCACCTTAAAGATTTCCTTGACGTTCGTCCGGATTCGGTTCTTCTTGGGTGCAGGAGCCGTTCGAGCACCCCCGTTCTGATCGGCGAGAGCTTTTCGGAGACCGATCGGGAGTCCAGAGTTGTAGCCAGTCGAGCCCATGAAAGCCTTGCTCAGCGATCCTAAACATAAACATAAAACCCTATCGATTTTGTAAGATAATTCAAAATGCGCTGCTGAACGCTACCTTAAATTGATGAGCTCAGCGCCAACACCAATGCTCAAAAATTTTTCGAATTTTTTGAAGCGCGCGATACCGATCTGATTCACGATTTAGCTCTAGTTAAAAATAGCGCTATCAAGTAAGTTTATTATCACGACCTACCACTAATATTGATCGTATCATACAGCCTCGAAGATCTATCCCTCGGGATCGTTCCATCAATTGCTTCCCTCGGTCGATTCAGCGAGAGTCTCGTGTGCACGTAGGCAAACTCGCCCCAGATGACTAAAAAAAATGGGATATGGTTAAGTTTTAGATCTAATTAAGCTTGAAAAATTCTGAAGCTCATACAGCTTTAAGCTGCCCGCGGAGCTTTATGACCTCTGTAATAGCAAGCTTCACCCTAGTTTCATACAAAGTTTATTGCAGCGCTACCTGTGATAGTATGATAGTTTTCTGAGCTGAGGTTGATGCTCAAGGTCATAAAATCCATAGATTTAGGCTGGCTTAAAAGGATAGGGGCGGCATAAGTCAATCGATTACGCGCGGGAAAGAAAATGTCTCTGCGCCTCTCCCCCTGGGCGCCCTCTCTCGCCGCCGGTCGCGCTGGGACCTGTTGAACCCCCCTCCCCAAGGGGGGTTCAACAGATGCCGTCCTCATCTCTTTAATGGGCACGTTCAGGGACGTTTTTTTGGAAAAAAGCAAAGATTTTCGTCACGGCCGGGGGTCGAACCCGGGCCCCCGGCTCGGGGCGAGGGTCGCCCCACGGCGCAAAGGAGGGGAATGGCCTGTCACAGCACGGGCAGGCAGTGCGCGCGGGCCCGACGTCAATAGGGTGTATACGTTGGCACGAGTATACGGCCCCTCCCTGAACGTGCGCTTTAAGAATACGGCTTAGGTTTTGATTAACCTATGGCTATCCTTATTGCTTAATTTTTCTTGCCCTCCAAAGCATCTAAAAAAAATTTCTAAAGCTTTTAGAACTCACTCGCATCATTCAGCTGATGCTCAATGGCCTTGGCCCAACTGTCGGCAATGTGTTTTGAGTCGCAGGTCAAAATGTATTGCAACATTGGGCTGTCTGTCGTCGGCTCGATGAGCAGCACCACCGAATCGTCCAAATTACACGGGGCCACGCGGGAACCCTAAAAACGAATTGTTTTTGGCGTGACATCGTCAAGCCAGAGAAGGAAAAGGCGTAGGTTTGGCAATAAAAAGATTTACTGGGGTGATGACAATGCGATGTAGGGTTTGCTCATTTCCAGGTTTCAGCCGGACGTCATTATTTACAAAGCACCGTAGGACACCAGCCTGAAACCGGGAAATAATTTTTGATTAAGTGATTTTTCTGAGATTTTTCTTCACATAGCCTTTTTCACATTTTCTTTTTCATAATTTTTCTAAGATGACTTTAAGATTTGGCTTAATGCCCACAGCTTCATTTTCAAGAAGTTTCAAATTAGTTTAGTTTTTTTATTTAGCTATCTTGCTTTATTAAAAGTTTATGTAAGTAAACTTTAGAACTGATTTCTGTATTTTTCAAATTTTTAACGTTTATAATCTCGTAATGGTTTTTTGCAGGGTTTTTTTCATTACACGGTATATTTCAAATCGCAAGATACTACATGCAAAATATATCACTTTCGCTCAGACTACTTCCAACCCTTTTAGTCGTCTAAAAACGTCTAGCAATGGGTGGGGGGGCAGTTGTGGGCTTTGGGCGATTATCCCCCGGATTTCGATCCCACTCCCGGGTTACGGTAACCGTTCGGGGTCGCAAAAATGGAGGAGAGTAGACACAGCTATGTACGTTTTTCTTTCCCACGCGTCCAGTAAATTCTAGATTCTTAAATGTCCTAGAAAATTGTTGGGTCCCGATCTTCCTCAAAAAATCATTATAAGATTGGCCTCAAGGGCATTCGTTTTCTCAAAGAATCTCTGCTAGCTTGCCCAGACTAAGCCACCAAGTCTTCAAATTCCAACCTGCAATCGGCAGCGAACGTGTTGGAAAACGCTGTCGCTATGCTTGGGGCGTACCGTCAAAATTCCGTCTGCCAAGGGATGCAAAACTGGAAAGTGTGGTTTTTAGGGTTTAATTCAAACCAATTCAAGATCGAAACATTTTTACGAAAATCTATTGCCAAATGTCTAATACCGTGTAATTATCACAAACCTGAATGGGGCAAACAGACGAGTCGACAAAGGACATGCCCGTAGAGGGGTGGGCCGGCAAGATCGGCTGAAAAAAGTGTTGAGGTGAGGAGAAAATGGCCTAACTGTCTTGCTCTCTCTCTCTCTCTCTCTCTCTCTCCTCCCCCCCTCCCATCTCCTTCCCCCCCTTCCCCTCCTTTTCTCCTTCTCTCAGTCTCTCTCTCTCTTTCTGTCTCTTGCTCTTTCTGTCTTTCTCTCGCCCGTTGCAAAACTCACCAAAAGCCGACACTTTGAGATCATGAATTTTGCAATCTTCACTGGCATCCGTTAAGACGAACAGGCACCGAGCAATCAAATTAAAATGACTCCCTCCAATCGTTTCCGGGATCTGCCGCCTTTGGTCCTGGAGCTGCGATTTCTAAAAATAGTAAAACGAGATAAAAAGACCGTGATTAAAACGACGGAGGCATGAAACCCTGAAAGTTGCAAGAAATTCGATAGGTTTTCAATTATGTGGCAAAGTATGCCAGCTCTTTTACGGCGTCACCTGCCATTCTTAAATTAATCTGAATGTACACTTAGCACTGACCACTTGCAGGCCAAACTTCTTGCCAAAACTTCTGCTTATCCGCTGCCGCAGACTCCCGGAATCTGAAAGGCGGGATTATAAAAAATGCGGAAATACGATGTGAATCTGCCCTTTAATCGGCGTATTTTAGAAATTCGAATTTCCCCAATGCCCTCAAAATATGGTTTTTACGGCATGGTTAGAACTAGTATGGTTATCAAATCTTGGTCAACTGAGCCATCTGAATATTTGAGCAAATTTTGATTTCAATCGGCGGATTTGTTGATCCCGTGACGGTTCAATCAATCTGAGGATTTGATTGCTTGTCCTTATCAAATCTTTGGGTTCGTGCAACATAACAATCGCTACGGCCGAGCTGCGGCCGAAATAACCTTGATTATGCATGCCATCATTAAATTAGCATCCGTGTATGGCTATTGATTTTCGCTCCTTTCATCCTCGTTCAATCTTCAGATTTGAACTCACTCGTCCATCATCGATTTGATTTGGTGCTGAACCTTACATCACCGCAGATTTGTTGCGGTGCATTGATTTGGATTTGTTCCTCTGTTGCATTGGATTACTGTGGGTTCAAGACGGAATAACAATAAAGGGATTGTCTAGACAAAAAAAGACAAATGGAAGATAAAACGAAAGACATAAAGCGAGAGCGAGAGAGAGAGAGAGAGAGAGAGAGAGAGAGAGAGAGAGCGAGATAGAAAAAACCTACTATCATTTCCGGCGTCCGTTCTCGCCGCATACACGCACAGCTCGATGCAAAAATCGTCGGGCTCGTTTTGGCTAAACGTTTAAATGAATTGTTTATGCGTTGTATACGGATTTCAAGACCTTTATGGTGATAGTAAGATTTTTATTCGTTTTCTTTAGCAACAAAAAACCCACAAAACAAACGATTCCGGAAACGCCACATCCGTATCAAGGCGATTGATATTGGCAATTATCTTGCTCTCAAACAACCCGGACTTCGTTTGGACCGTATAAAACATGGAATAGGTCCGGCTTTCTAAAATGTGGCTTTTTGAGCACGAAATACCCCTATGTACGAACCTCCTTTCTGCTTGAAATGTTGCTCGCCATTCCAGGCAAGCGGGATTTGAATCTGGGAAATGCCAAGGGTTGCTCGACTCCGCAAGACATCGCAGTCCGAACTAAAATCGAGCAAATAACGTTAGTTTCAAGGTGCAACTAAGCATACTGTGTAGCTAAATGTACTCTGAAATGATAAAATACCTGTATAAATGATGCATCTCCGGCTCCTCCTCCAATAATGCAAAAAGTTGCTCCTTCTTTTTCTGGACGATCCGCTGCTTCTCGGCGTCGAGGACGTCGGACGGCCAGGAGGAGTCGGAGCACTAAAATAAAGTTTAGACATGAGCGAGGAAAAATTACTCCTTAATTAAAACCAATAAATTATGCCTTTGAGAAAGGGGCTGAAAAGATAACTCGAATTACAATAATGAGGTTAAGTTTTTTTTCAGATTGGGAACTTCCGATTAAAGTTTATGCAATTAATGGGAAGCTCAAAAATTGGAAAAGGTAAACATAAGCATATAGGTAAGTTAAGCCGCTTTTTAAATCCTAAAGTATTGCTTTTTAATTGGGGAATTCCCATTGCATGACGAGAGCTCCTCGAAAAACAGTTTAGGTGGAAAATGAGAAAATTTATATAAATCAAAATATTATACATGAAAACAATCCAGTTTCATGAGTCATAACTAGTGGTTTTGCCGTGGCGAAAACTATCGAATACGATTGGCGAGGCGAGGCGCGTCCGGCCGGCCGCCCAGCTTGAATTTGCATGTGGCGTCGGGGGGACCGGCTGTGTGCCCCCGGTGCTAGTGGTGTGAAATGCGCATTTTATTAGCTGCAAAATGGAATTGGGATTGTCATGGGCGGGTGCCAATAGTATCAAGTCGTACTGGTTTTGGGGCAAAAATGACTTCAATTTAGCATCTTCTAAAAGGCAATATATATTAGAAACGAATTTAGGAAAAAAGCAGCTAATTGAATTTGTTAGATTGTTGCTAAACGTGGCGCAAAAAAAGGAAAAATTTTAGTTACAAGTAATTTGGCGAAATACAACATTTCTAAAAATTTTTAGGGTATGAGTTTGCTTTACACACCCCCCCCCCGCCCCCACAGCCGATGGGTCTCAAAGTTTTCGGTATTTTGGCTGATTTTGTCAGGATTTTTGCAACGCCATCCGATAGAGCGTCGAAAATATACTAAAAGTTTTATATTGAGCCTACAATAAAGTAAAATAAAAAATTTATAGCCAAAAACTTCCGGCCGGGGGGTAAAGTAAACCGTAGCCGTTTTTGGGTCTCAAAAATAGACGCGGGAGCCATAAAGGTATGCAAGAAAAACGAAAATACGGTCGACGAGACGGAGAGAGAGAGAGAGCGAGAGCGAGAGAGAGAGCCAGAACACCTTGTTTTGCCAACTGAAATGAACCCCCGAAAGCCGATTCCATTTTATCAATATTCCCCAGCAATAAAATTTGATTGACAAAATTTCACAAGCCTAGTCGGCCGGGGGTTGTGGGCGGCGGCCCTGCTTTTTGCGTGGTCTGCCCGGCATAATAATAACCAGGTAGAGAAATTCCTGGGCTATCACTTGCAGCCAACAGGACGCGCCTGAACCTACTGGGACAGCTGATTCATCGCCAGGGGTTCTGATTACGACGCTGCGTTGAAAGTTTGGAAGGAAATTGAGGGTGGTGGTGAGGGAAAATGAACCAATCGTTCAATGATCGTCGTCGATCTATTTTCCCATTTTTAAAGGAACCTGGAAGCGAGAGTTCGTGTGTTTGAGAAAGAGAGAGAGAGACAGAGAGAGACAGACAGACAGTGATAGAGAGACAGAGGGAGAGCGAAAGAGATAAAGAAAAAGATTAAGCCCCATCAACACTTACTGATGACTTTGACGAGAGAGACATCTTTTCCACTGGGCCTCACATAAAAACGGCTTCTTGGCGCAGCTGCTCCTGGAACTGAAATGCCTTTTATAGATCGAAGCATCAATTTGCCCAAAAACACATTATTTGCATCTCAAGCCGATACGAAGTTGCCAAAAATGGATATACAAGAGCCAAAGTCTCTGGAAACTTTGCAGAAATTTTCAGAGGACGGCTAGCAAAGCCTCTGCTGGTTCAGGAGGGCATATTTGCCATAGAATATCGGGCATGGAAAGTGCTTCTCCTGCCCCCAATATGGGCTGCTGCTCACCATTCTAGTCTTCCCATTTTCCGGTCATTTTTCGGCCGGCTGTTGTAGGGGGATTCTTTGGCTGTTCTCTTTTGCGCTTGCATCCAGTGCATTTTCGGGGCAATAACAGGGACGCAAAAAAAAGCGGAAAAAGGGTTAAAAAACTAACCCTTAAACGTTCCACGAAGTAAAAAAGTAATTAATCAGGATCAGGGAATTTTTAGAAACTTTTCCTTTAATGAATAAAGTAAATCTATGAAAATTAAATTACAACCGCACAACTACGTTCAGTCGTCATTACGCTTCGACAGTTTACTACAAATTACGTCAGCTACGCAGAATATTATAAACAGTCATCTCAGATTCCGCGACTACGCAATGCTCCGCTCGTGCCACCCGCCTAGTTCCCGCCTAGTTTATCGTGAAATTCGAGAGTTTATGGTCAGGACAGTCCGACTCGCACCGACAAGCCACCCAAAATCGAGAGCGACGAGCCCGGGCTGAAAACAGCAATTACCGGAAAAAGCGCGAAAAGAGAAAAGCAAGGGGGAGAAGCCAAAAAAGAGCCCTGCCAAGCCAGACTATCCCGGTACCGGAACTATACCAAAATCCGGTGCACCATCGAAAATGTACATAAATTCGTGAAAATGGAGACGTTGATATGAGTTCTGTCTAGGGAACGAAAAGAAGAGAAAGATCTTGCCGTGTGTGGCAATCGGAACAGCACGAGGTGAAGGTATGGGAAAGTGATTATTTCCCTCATCACCACCACCTCGCCTTTTTACGAGAACAACATCGCCTTTCCTGTCGCGCTCGAGAATGGGTTGATCCAATTTGTGACCTGGGGCGAAAGTCAGTGGTAAGCTTATTGTCGTAGAAGATAGACATGACCGGAAGCGTTTCATACGTTCTTTAAAGGGACAAGAAAGACAACGCTGTAGTTTCTGCGCCATCAAGCTTCCTATTTGCTGGAAGTCCTCTGTTTCGAGCGTCTTGCGCAAAAAATCAACTGCCGGTGTTGAGCTTCTTGCGAACTTGTCTTGGCTCCGCCTTAGACTCAGGTTTAGGCTTAGCTTTCGATCTTAGGATTTAGCTGAGGTTCTTAGGATCAGGGGCTCCGCTAAAGCTTTCGAGTAGACTCAGACTCATGATAGTCCTTCGACTTTGATTCGGGCAGGCTTGGACTAAAGTTTACTTGATTTTAGAGCCTCGGCTCCATCTGGGGCTTAGCATGGCTTAGGCTTGGCTTGGGCCTGACTTAGATTTAGTTAGGCGTAGTTTCCGCTTGGTTGAGGAGTGGCTGACGCTTGGTATAAGCAGACCTGGCCAGTTCTTGCCCAGGAGTCGCGTAAGCGCAGAATTTGCAGAGGCATAGGCCGGGCCTAGCCTAGGCGTTGGCTCAGGTCCGGGTTTTTCGAGCTTAAACTTCAGCGTCGTCTCAGGCTTATACTTGTTCCTTATATTTCAACTATTCTCAGTAGCGAAAGAGCAATAAAACGCTATAAGAAAAGAAGTGACTCCCCACCAAACCGATATGTTTTTCTCAAAGATGCTGATTTGTACGTGTAATGGGGGGAAGGTCAGGTACTGAGTGCGGGCGTGAGGGCGTGTGGATCGGAACTGGCTAATTTGAATTGATAGACGCCCTCACAGTTCCGCGTTGGAGACGGTAATTGAGAAATGGGGAAAAATGATCTGTCCCAAAATGGCTGGCAAAAGCAGGGGGCGGATGGATCTTCGACCTTGCCGGCTTTAATGGGAAAATCGGAGGGGAAAAGCGGCTCCCAGGGCGAGGGGAAAGCCTAGAGAATAGCACAATAAAAAGTGGAAATACTAGGGTGGGGCTCTGGAGAACAAGGGCAATTTGTCCCGGGATCAACGGAGGGGAACGGTGTTGCGATTGAGAGGTGTTCCCAATTGGGAGGGTTTTCCAGAGAGTTTTTCGTCGCCAGTTGACTGGTTTTTCAGGGTCAGGAATCAGAAACCGGAACCGGAAGTGGGCTATAAAATCTTGATATAAAACCGGTTCATAAAACCTAACACAGCCCATCGATTCAGGCCAATTTTATAGATTTCAAAAAAATTGATTTGGGATCATTTTTTTCTATTTAAAGGAACCTGGAAGGCAGAAAGCCACGGCCGAGGCCACCCTACATTTACAAATGCCCTAAAGTCAGAAATCACTACTTAGGATCAGCAGACCAGAAAACGACTAGATTAATCTTGGTCATTCAACATTAGTATGACATCAGCGCGGAAAAAGCGCGATTTCCGACAAGAGAGCCATATATATGTAGAAGAAGAAAGAAAAAAATAATTAAAAATAATAAATTAATAAAAAGAAGAATTGTGTATCTTAAAGGTATGAATGTATGGGATGTATGAAAAGAAAGCCCGCTAAAAAAGTAATTTTCTATACAGGGTGTCCCAAAAAAAAACGAACCATCTGGCATTTCACCGTGTTACATCCGATCAGCCCCAAATTTGGACCAGAGGTGTATCAGACCCTAAATAACAACAATCCTGACTTCTAGCCCCGTAGCTACAGTCATTCTCGAGCTATAGCAAAAATACTGCTTTTCCCGGAATTCTGAACTTTTTTTCGGCCATCTTTTTGGACTTTACATCGATTTGCATCGATTTCCGGCTGTGAATCCCTAATTTCGCTTAAGAACTTAGGCAATTTTGCGTTGTAAAAATCGCTTAAATCTAAGCTTATTTAATTAATTTTGCTCTGGAAAAAATTTCTTAAGGTAAAGAAGGCCCACCGGATCATTTTCACTTAAAGGGATGCCGACGGCATAGTCAATCGATTACGCGCTGGAAAGAAAATGTCTCTGCGCCTCTCCCCTGGGCGCGCTCTCTCCCCTGTTGGCTACTTGCCAATTTGTTGATGGGGGGGATCGACACATGCCGTCGGCAGCCCTTTAATGTTCAGGGGGTCTAATTCCAAGAAAACCCTATGAAAAATGGAAAATAAAGTTTATTTTTGCCATAACTCGAAATCTACTGTAGCTACAGGGCTAAAAGTCAGGATTGTTGTTATTTTGGGTCTGATACACCTCTGGTCCAAATTTGGGGCCAACTGGATGTAACACGGCGAAATGCCAGATGGTTCGTTTTTTTGGGGCACCCTGTATATCCAAGGCTTTTTAGCGAGGCTTTATGGAGCCAATAACAAAATTTCTCCATCTCTACAACTGACCTAAAGGCATCTAAACAACAAAAATTTTTATCGGCTACGTGCGACACCGAAAAGACGATGTCCATCTGGTTGAAACACTCGACCCCCGAAGGCTGGTGTTCAGTTGAAGATGCTGCTTCTGCGTTAGTTGCGCCGGACACTCGACGGATCGTTTTTTTGTCGGTCCACTTTTTGTATTTGCAGAACAGCTCGACGACCACAGGGACCTCGCCTCCATTCCATCCCTTTACTCAACCGCACACCTCCTCCTCGCCACCCCACTCCACTTATCAATTTGACCCTATGGCCGTCGAAAGTGGCCTGGACAGCAGAAAACCGTGAAGAAAAGTGGCTTTGGAAATGTTGTTAATAAATATTGGAAGAATTCCGGCCATAATCTGATGCTAATGCTGACAGACGAAATCCCGACAGACCAAAATCCTTAGAAGCAACTGACAGGCCAAAATCCCGACAGCCACAATCCCGACAGTCAAAATCGTCACTGACGAAATTCCGCTGACCAAAGCTCGACAGCCAAAATCCCGATAGCCCAAATACCGACAAGCCATAAACCCGACAGGCCATAATCCCGATAAGTCAAAATCTCGACATGCAAAAATCGCGACAGATAAAAATTGAATAATTCTTACATCCTGGTCGCTGGTTTTAAAGTTTTTTGCTTTTTTTTGGATGTCGGGATTTTGGTATACGGCGGTTTTGGCCGTCGGGATTTGGACGTTTTCTTGTATCGAAATGCAGAGAGTTTGGGGAAAGAGTTGTGGTTAATTTGGTAAGTTATAAGCTACGATATTCCGGAACAGTTGTTTAGTAAAGCCTGTAAAGAGGAGGCATTATGGTAGTTATTTTTGTTGCCACGTTCCTTTAAAAGTTGCAATATTTATTTGCTAGACAATTTTTGTAGCTTTTCGACAACCTCGTCCTCGATACTCAGGTTGGACAACACAACCAACGCTTGCTTCCCATCAATGTTAAGCGACTAAAAAAGGACTATTGCGGTTTTGATGACGATTATACTTTATGACCTTCCGGGGCCCATCTGATCATCGTATCATTGTACGTCTCCGTACCCCAAATTGGCAAAATTTGAAATTTCTCGTAAATTTCGTGGGAGATTTTTGCGAAAAGAGCATCGCTGAAAATGTCTAAGATATCGGAAACCTGGAAAAAGTACCGTAATCTCTTTCCACGATACTCCGGCAGTACGTTGACACCGATTATAGAGCCTAAATATCGAAAAATGGCAAGATTTATTGATTTTGTATACCCTCTTCCCTAGCCATGGCAAACGCAGCTAATTTCCCAGAATATGTACGAATTGCTACGGTAGGTAAATATTTAGCGCGTAACCTGAAAAATTGATATTTAGAAAATAGACAATCGATAACTGATCTTGTATTTTTAACCTACCGTATCAATTCTTTAGTAGCTTCCAGACCAAATTGCCAAACGCTCAAAATAATATCCAAATCTTCTTCTCGGATCTTATCATACACAAAACTAAAAATTCTCGGTAAAAAATTGAAATATCTGCATACCCTGGAGGTAAAATATTAGTTTTCGGCGGTTCCGGAGCATCTTTGTAGACGTAAAGATGCACGGGTCTTGTATTTTCCTGCTGGACCCCAAATTTTGAAAATGCCTCCAAGACCTGATACATAATTTCCGGGACCCCAATGGCTTTTCCGTTTTTGGCAGAGCAGATGGCTTGGATGCCTAAAATCGAGATAAAGAGAAGGCACGACATTGAAAATAATCTGTAAAATTAAGACATTACGTGAACTAGAGTTAATTAAACTTGTTTTAAATCGTTCAAACCAATTGAAAACAGCTTTAAAAGCGTTTTTTGGTTCTGAAAAATTATGAAAGGTTAGCGTGGGTTAAGAAACTTCATAAATTTAACAATACACAAAACTTAAAGCGAATGCAACAATTTTGTGCTCAAAAAATGCCAAAACCCGCCCAAAACGTTCTTTTTGCGTTTTAAAGTTAAATTTTTTAGTAAAGTTTGAGATGCCCAGTCTTTACAGAATACAGTATTACTTACCATGTCCGGCCGCTAGTATCTGCGATACAAATTTGTCCACCTCTTCTCCATCAACGGTCCCACGAGAAGCGGCGTAGATATGATAACTACAAAAAATTAAGTTAATTTTTCTATACTAACAAATCCAGCAGCGGCTTCACGACCACCCAATATTTTGAGACCGCATTTTCATAGGAATATAGGTGTAGCTCGGCATCCGGAATAACACCTTTCAGATGAAATTTAATGGCTCCTTGGATTTGCCGAGTTATGGGGATTTTCTCCAGTTCGGTTAGAGCCTTTTTGAGCTCTGAATTTGTAGCGGCGTAGTGAAACATTTTTGGGAGTAATTCGCGCTTGTAGCTTTCAAGAATTCCAGAAAGAACCGTCTAAAGGTCTAGATTTCAGAGCGGCTGACCTTGCAATAACTGATAAGCTGCCTCTTGCTGGAAATGGATGACAATTTAGTGCCCAAAAATCGATGGTACTAGCGTGAGAGTATTTCTTGACATTTGGCGTTAAAAGCGCGTCTCTAGGCCCTTTTTTAATGGCACTGACATGCCAGGGTTTGGATTTTTGTCTTTAACTTTCCGCTGGTTTGGCAATTCGTAGTATTATTTTGCCGCAATATTTTGTCGTAATATTTTGACGCAACATTTTTTGTATCATAGATATATCATTGAATCGATGTATCTAAAACACTTTCTAAGCCTAATCCCGGCCTGCACACCAATCGTCAAATTCGAAAAGAAAAACGTCGCCTGCTTCCCGTCAAGTTTCAGCGGCTATAAATCGGCAAAATCCCAAAGTTTTCATAGATTTCATAAGCTATTTTTGCGAAGATCACTAAAAAACTCTGGAGCTAATAAATATCAGTTTTTCAAGGTAAATTATAATAATATAATACAATTATAATGAAAAATAAATTATGCGTTGAAAAAGGGCTCTTCGCAATAAATAATAAATTATATCTAGGTTATCAAAACTGCACGAGAGAGAGGGAGAGAGAGAGATAGAGAGAATGGGAGTGATAGAGGGGGAGGGCGGGAGAGAGAAAGAGAGACAGACCTGAGAGAAAGAGAGTGAGTGAAAGAGAGCGCGAGAGAGATATGCGATGCAGAGCGGTAAACTTCTTCATTCAAAATCCAAAACTTGCATAAATCGAGAAAATTTTCAAGTGCATTTTGCATATCGTCGCCTTTCTTGGATCAGTCGCACTTTGCCTATAGTTTTCTATATTTTTGGCAGCTCTTGTTATTCCCGAGGAGATGCTGCGGACCCTGCGGCGCTTCTTCTTTGCCAGGGTAGGGTTAATTCTGCCAATTTCAGGGAAAGAGCAAAGCTGCATCTTTGTTGTACTATGTTTAGAAGAAGAAGAAGAGTCCCCCTGAGAATACGGTCTCAGCGTCTACGCTTCCGCCGGCCTTTTCGGCCGCCTCCGGCTCGTGCTCGTCGATTTGGAGCTCCGTCCCGGACGCCCTGGCCCCCAGCGAACCGGTAGAGGTGAAGGTGCAGAGCAAGGAGCCCGGAATCTTTTCAATAGACGCTGAAAAGTTAAATGCTTTTCAGCAGGGCAAGGCGCGCTACCTATCGTTCGACAAGTTCAAGGCGCTGCCGCTCGAGTTGCAGCAGATGATCCTCGCCCGTCTCACTCCTGTCGAGTGGCTACCAGTTGCCCACATCCATCCCCACTTCAAGGTGCGCCTTCCCAACATTTTCTGGACATTAATTGGTGCAAGTGCGGAGTCCTGGAATCAATTAAAATTTGGATCTTTCGCATTATCGGGGGGAGGGTGGGCAATTTTTTGGTATCAGTCTAGGAATGTCAACTGATTTAACTCGCGGTAATTTTTAGGTTTTTAGTAGAAAATAGCTCTATTTTGCCTATAAACCTTCTGAAAACCCCCTGAAAAAAAAGATTTTGGCCGAGAATCGGCGATTTTTTGTCGCAAAATCGAGAATTTTTAATTTATAAGGGAAATGGGTCCTGTAGTGTTAGCGAGGGAGGATTTCTATCGGGGGGGGAAGCTACTTTCTGTTTTTCTACCTGATGATCTTATAGTACATATTTTTATAGCGTATTTAGTCGTTGTTAATTGCGAGAAAGTTACAAAAAATTGTTTTAAAATTTTTTGAAAATTCCAACATTTTGACCTTTTTCTTTTTTGATGCGTTTTTGACCAAAAAGTCACAAATTTTCAAAATTTTTATTGTTTTTTAAATCGTGTTTTTTTACCTAAAAACTGTGTAAAACGCTATAAAAATGGTTTATTGTTTGTACACCCCCCGTAGCAAATCACAGGGAAAAATTTGGATTCTCCCGCTACCAGTTCAGAACCGAAAAAGTTTTTACGTTTAAGAACAACAAAAAATTAAGAAATACTTGCCCTATCCATATTTGAATGGTTGGATCCTAAGAAAACAGTTGGGTCCCCCCCGATAATGCAAAAGAGCCATCAGCCTTTTCGAACATAGTGGTTTCTACTCTTAAAAATACAAAAATTCATAAAGACAAAAAAAATTTTTTTAGGCCCTCATCTTGGCCATGCCAAAGCGCTACGTATCCGTCGCCTCGTGGTGTAACGTGGACCCGGAGCTGGACGAGGAGGAAAACTTGGCGAAGAGGTGGGTTTTAGCCGGGACTCCAGATACCCCGATTCCCGCCGGCCGGCAAACCGTTGTATCGAAGCTCCCTACTGATTTATCGGCGTGTAGGATTGACCAAGATGTTTTGGAGAGCGAGACAAACATTTTGGTGTACTTTACACAGCTTTAGACTAACAGGGAGCGAAGATACAAAGGTTGAGGGCCGGCTGGGGGGGCAAGCTGGAGTCTTTTGTTTACCTGTTAATAATGTATAATGTATTTTCTAGTATAATTTTGCGGCTTATATTACACTTTTTTCAATGGTTTTCGTAGTTTTTTGATTACTAGAAACTCAGAAAAAATTTTTAAACAGTTTGGAAGGTTGAAAATTATCGCCTTATAGCAATTTTAGATAGATTTTGCACAAAGAAATTCAAAAAATCTTTAGAAGATTCCTTTGAAGTTTTTATGTCTAAAAACAGTGTAAAGTCCTTTATAATAATTTAATTTATGTTCTATCCCGCCGCACCCCACCTTCCCCCCCCCCCCGTTAACAGTCCGGTACCGCTACCCTGGAAGGTTTGCTCCCCTTTCAGCGGCGCCGTGAGCATTTCGCGACGTTCTACGTTCGGCATTCGTATGTGTTCCACGCTGCTCAAGTTGACTAGAGGCTTGCAGCAATTGCGGACTGACGGGGCCGGACGAGTTGCTGCAGACCGACGCGAAGCCAAGTCATTCGGCCTTGCTGACGATCGTTGATGACGCAGGGCTGAGCGACGTGGGAGTTGTTCCCTCTCCCACTCTCTCATTCGCTCTCACTCACTCTCTCTCTATCTCTCCCTGTCTCTCGCTCCTTTTCGGTTTCATCCGCGGTGTAGCGCAGAACACCTCAAAATTCCAGGCCGAAGCCGATGAAAAGCTGACTCAACGCATCAAGGAAGATCTCGCCATACTCTTCACAAACTCCCATTGCGTTAAGGTGTGATTATTACCTGGGCTTACAAGGAGTGCCTTTTTTGCGTCATCGGCAAAACGCTCTGCTACCTAGCCCATGCGATAGCGAATTGAATTCTGAACAACACACCGATGTTCATTTTTGCGGCAGAGCTGTCTCGGATTTTATAAAACTGAAAAACGCCGCTCGGAAGCGTCCCTTTTCGCTCGAAGGGCACTCATGGTAAGAGAATCCACAGTTTTTTTAATTTTATAAAATCAGAGACAGCCATTCCGCAAAAATAGACATCGATATCTTGTCTAGAATTTAATTCTCTATCGAATGAGCTAGGTCGCGGAAAGTTTTACCGATGACACAAAAAGGGCACTCCTTGTTAGACCTAGGTTTAGGTTTGGGCTATTGGTTAGGTCTAGGAATGGGCCTAGGCTTAGGCTTAAGGTTAAGTTTAGATTTGAGCTCAAGCTTAGGTTGAGGCTTAGGCTTAGGCTTAGCTTCAGGTTTGTGCCGAGGCTTAGGCTTAGGTTAAGGCATCGGATTATCCATGGGTCTAGGTTTGGGCCGCGGCTTAGGTTTAGGCTTGAGCTTAAGCTTAGGCTTAGGTTGAGGCTTAGGCTTAACTCTAGGTTTCGCCTGGGCTTAGAGTCACACGCGGGCTTACCCGAAATTTTCAGTTCGAAGGCGGACGGCAGCCTGGCCCCTACCCCGGCCAGAAGGCTGACCTCTACGCCGAGTTCTATGGCGGCAATGTGGAGACGTTCCGCCAAGAAATGGGTGAAACCACACGGGCTTCAACATGAAATCACTTCCCAGTTCAGAACAGCTCGGCGCGCACAGCTACGTGGCAAATATTCACCCGGACTGCCGCCTTGAGTCTGCCCTGCTGTTGATCCGCGAACTGGCAGATGTGGTCAGAACCGCTTTCTCGCTCTCTCTCCCGCTGTCGCTCTCTCACGCTCTCTCTCTCTCTCTCTCTCTCTCTCTCTTTGCGTCGGAATCCACTGATCGTTTCCGGTCCCTTTACAGTCCATTTTTTGCAGCCACTGAAACGCCTGGACTTGGGCATCGGCCACTCGACAGCCGAGATTTGGGCCCTGCGAAACGTCAAAGTCCCGGTGATGCAAATCCGTCATGAAGAGGTTCGGTCGAAGTCGTCGGGCGAGATTGCGCAGCGCGCCGTCGTCCACCAGGTCTTGCCGGTCATCCGGCAGATGTTGGCCGAGATGATCAGGGTACGAAGCTTGGCTTCTTTCGCAATATCGGGGGGGGGGGGAGCCTGAGTCTAAAAATCGCCTCGTGGCTAAATAGCAGTGTTTTAATAGTGTTTTTAGTAATAGGCCAGGTTGAAAAACCGCTTCGCGGCTTTGAGACCTGGCCCCGTCTAGGACCTAGGAAAGTATTGACTTTGTATAATCCTTGCTGAAAACGGATCACCAAAAAAAATGACAAACCATGCCTTCCCTCCCCTTTTTTATAAGCGATTTTGACGGATTTCGGCCTTAAAATGTTAGCAAAAATGAAGAGGGCACTCTTTTCTACCTGTCGAAATTTTTGGATTTACGAAAATTACGCTTAAATTGGGCCTTTGCCGAGCGGGTTTTTTTGGGACACCCTGTATACACACACTCACACACAAACGCTATTTTTTATATCCAGTATCTAAAAAATTAACGGCTCAAGTCTAGGAACCCCCCCCAGCCGACTTTTCAACTTTTCTACCTTCCTTATTTTTGTTTTTCGCTACTTTTTTCGACTGAACTGCAATGTAGTCTTACTAATTAGCCTATGGCGAACATTTTGGTATACTTTAGAGCTCGCTAGCACAAAGCGGGGCCGAGATACAAAAGTTGGTGCCGGTTGGGGGGGGTTTCTAGACTTTTACCAAATTAACGCTTTGAAAAATCTCAATTTTCGTGAAAAATCAGCCTATTCCTTGATTTAAAAAAACCTCCTCTTGCAGCAATGGAGGGCCGGTGAGCGTGAGATCGATGCGATCGAATTTTTTCTGGAGGGAAGCTCAAGGCCGGAACTCGGACGTTGGTCCCAACGTCCACTTTCCTATCGACAGCCTTACACATTTCAGTGCTAACGGCGATGGTTCAGTCTCTAACTGTTGGCGAGGATAGCGTCAAGCTCGGCTCCCACAACACGTTAATTCGCCGGCGACTAGATGTGGGTGACTTGCTGGTACTGGACGGTTAGCGGGGGGGGAGCGATCGCTTTTTTTCCTGGCGATCCCGGCTGCCCTGGCATTGTTTTTTTAACAAATTTTTAACCATATTTAAAGTAGAAAACGTTCCAAAAAATTGAAAAGAATGACTTTAAAAGCATGTTTGAGAAATTCCACAATTTGGTCATTTTGGTAAAAAAAGTCAATTTTTCGACCTGTGTAAAGTTTTTAAACTTAGGAATAGTTCAAAACAGGATAGAAACGCATGCGCTCTTGATCGAAAAAACTTAACAGTTGGTTCAGAAAAGAGTTGATTTCGACTGTTCACAACCGCAAAAGGAATTGGTATCAGAATCTCGAAAATCAGAATCTCGAAAATCAAAATCTCGAATTTTCAAAACCTCGAATTTTCAGAATCTCGAATTTTTAGAATCTCGAAATAGGCCTATGCTGGATTTCGTGCGTGGGCGTGCAATTTCCGAAACCTTTAATGCTGATTTAAGCCATGGAAATTTCGAGATTCTGAACATTCGAGATTCTGAAAATCGAGTTTATGAAAATTCGACATTCTGAAAATTTGAGATTCTGTTTTCGAGATTCAGCTTTTCGGGATTTTGACAGATTGCCCTGCAAAAGCTTTACGCATTTTGATTTATGTAAAAAAACTATCAACTTTACGACATATTTTGAATTTTTTAGGAATTTCGAATGGTTTTTTGATCTGCTTTTCTCCTTTTAATGTAATTACGTAACTGGTTTTTATTAAAATCACCATTATCAGGATTTTAATTACGTTACTTGCTAGCCATTTCCGGGTGTATACATAGGGAATTCCTCCCCGATACCACCCCCCGATAATGCAAAAGAACCCAATCACAGAGCCGCGATGGTCTGGCCATCATGGCCAAGAAGGGATTCTCGGTGTTGATGGCCGGATGTGACTACAACTTCCGCAGGTTTGTGTTCAAAACCTGCTGTCTGGACACTCTATCGGATGTGTATCTATCCCGAATTATAGAGGGTGTCCCAAAACTTCGTCACGGTTTACTTTACCCCCCCAGCCGGAAGTTTTTGGCTCTAACTTTTTTATTTTACATTATTGTAGGCTCAAATTAAAACTCTTAGTATATTTTTCGACGCTCTATCGAATGGCGTTGCAAAAATCCCGACAAAATAAGCAAAAATACCGAAAACTTTGAGACCCTTCGGCTGCGGGGGGGGTAAAGTAAACTCTTACCACGGACGGTTACCGGCCGGTAACCAAACCAACAAAACTTTAGTGTACCTTTAAGAACTGGGGTAATTTTACGTTGTAAAAGTCGTTAAAATCGACCCCTATTTGATTAATTTTAGCCCGG